CGATCTCCTGTTGAGTTCGTAGGTGTTCAGAATGGTTTGATCCCTATTCAGCTGAATTCCTGAGACCAGACGAAACCCAGGTCTCCTACTCCGCCGCCATCTTGCTCTGCCTCTCCCAATTTAACCATTTTTAAGTGTACATCCAGTGGTATTAAATACATCCATAATGTGCAACCATAACCAGTATTCATCTGTGTAACTATTCATCTTGCAAAACTGGAACTCTGGGGGCACCTTGCTGGCTCAGTTGGAAGAGCATGCGACTGTTGATATTGTGGTAGTTGTGAGTTCAAGCTCCCTATTGGGTGGAGATTACTAAAAAAAAATAAACTTAGAAAAATATTAAAAGAAGAAAAAGAAACTGGAACTCTATACCCATTAAACAGTTTCTCCCTATTATTCCCTCCTGGCAATCACCATTCTACTTTGTTCTGTGTGATTTTGACTAAGTACCTTATATAAGTGGAATCATACTGTATTTTTAAATTCAGTTAATTAACATACAGTGTATCGTTAGTTTCAGAGGCAGCATTCAGTGATTCATCAGTTGCATATAACACCCAGTGCTCATTACATCATGTGCCCTTCTTAATGCCCATCACCCTGTTATCCTAGCCCCCCACCCACCTCCCCTCCAGCAGCCCTCAGTTTGTTTCCTATAGTTAAGAGTCTCTTAAGGTTTGCCTTCTTCTCTGATTAAGTCTTGGTTTTTTTGCCCCCTCCCTTCCTCTATGCTCCTCTGTTGTTTCTTAAACTCCACATATGAGTGAAATCATATGATAGTTGTCTTTCTCTGACTTATTTTCCCTTAGCATAATACCGTCCAGTTTCATCCATGTCGTTGCAAATGTCAAGATTTCGTTCTTTGTGATGGCTGAGTAGTATTCCATTGTGTTTGTATACACACACACACACACCACATCTTCTTTATCCATTCATCTGTTGAGGGACATCTGGGCTCTTTTCATAGTTTGGTTACTGTGGACATTGCTGCTGTAAACATTGGGGTGCAGGTGCCCCTTCAGAGCACTACATTTGTGTCTCTTTTTTTTTTTTTTAAAGATTTTATTTATTTGACAGAGAGAGACACAGCGAAAGAGGGAACACAAACAGGGGGCGTGGGAGAGGGAGAAGCAGGCTCCCCGCGGTGCAGGGAGCCCAGTTCGGGGCTCGATCCCAGGACCCTGGGATCATGACCCGAGCCGAACGCAGATGCTTAACAACTGAGCCACCCAGGCGCCCCACTACATTTGTATCTTTGAGGTATATACCTAGTGGTGCGATTGCTGGGTCATAGGGTAGTTCTATTTTCAACTTTTTGAAGAACCTCCATACTGTTTTCCAGAGTGGCTGCACCAGCTTTCATGGAATCATATTGTATTTTGTGTTTTTGTGAATGGCTTATTTCTCTTCACTTAATGTCCTTAAGGTTTATCCATAATGTTGTAGCACGTGACAGGAAGTTTTTCCTTTTTAAGACTAATATTCCACTGTATATGCATACCACATTTTGCTTATTCATTCATCCATCGATGGGCACTTGGGTTGCTTCTGTGTTTCAGTTATTGTGAGTAATGTTGCTGTGAATGTGGGTGTACAGATATCTCTTTGAGATCCTGGTTTCCATTCTTTTTGGTATATTGCCAGAAGTGGAATTTGTAGATAATTTGATAATTTTTAAATTTTTGAGGAACCTCTATGCTGTTTTCCACAGTGGCTGTACCAGTTTACATTCCCACCAGTAATGTTCAAAAGTTCCAATTTCTCCAAATCCTCGCCAATATTACTTGTTTCCTGTTTGGTAGTAGCCATCCCAGTTGTTTGTGTTGTGGTACCTTGTTCTAGTTATGATTTGTATTTACCTAATAGTGATACTGGGCTGCAGGGGCAGGGGCTTGCAGCGGTTGGTTAAGGAGGTACAACAATGGCCACCTACCTCTCTAACGACATCTCTGTAACCAGAATCACCAGTGGGTGATCCCTCATATTTAGAGGACGGAGTGCTTTTCGCCTACGCTGGCTCCTGAAAGCCCCATGTAGCTGCTCCAGGAATATATGTCCAGCTGCTTGCCTTGCGGCTAGCGGGCAGTGGATGAGGAGCTGCTATTGTGCTAAGAGGTAAAATGGACTGGAATTAGCCACAGTTTATTCTCCAGATTTTCTGCTGGGAGTTGGAAGCCTTCAATAGACAAGAGTTTCAAAAAGTTTTATCAGACAGATTATGTCAGTGCAGTTGTTGTCTAGGTGAGGACAGATTCCTGGTGCTTCCCTCTCTGCCATCTTCCCAGAATCCTCCATACATGGCTTTGGCTTTTTGTACTGTCCTCAGCTATGTCCTATGATTTATAGAAATTGGACTCAGAACCAAGAAATGGCTAAAAGTGGACACGCTTCTCTTATGCTGATGGAACCCAGAGGAAGGAAAAAAGTTGGCGGTTGGGCAGGGAGTCATTGGACTTTATCATCTTGCCTGGGTCCTCCAGACCCCATTTTTTTTCTTTCCCAGGAGGTGGCTTGAGGCTTGGCCCTTCGCATACCTCTGTCCCCATTGAGCCTTTCTGGCTCCTGCTACCTCCCTTTCCCCATATGCCCTGCCTAGAGGTGGGCAGACATTGAAGACTCAGAGTAAAGTAGCACCCGCCTCTTCGCCTTGCCTTGTAACTGCTGGGTACCCTCTGGTGGGTGTGAAGGGCTCTAAACAGAGGTCCTGGCTCCAGGATAAGTGTTGGCCCTGTATATTCCGCCTAAGATTTTCATTCATTTTTTCAGCCAGCTTTGTGCAGATAGGGGTGCTAGGCCTGAGGTGTGTTTGGAGCTGGGGTAAGAGTGAATGGAGTCTCTCTGAGCTTATGTCCTGTTGGAGCTTTTGGGAAACTACTGCCAAGGAGTGGAGAGAGGGTATTTGCCACAGAAAGTAATAAGCCAACCATCCCACCTGTTATGGGGAGAAACTATATAATTTTGGGAGAACCTGGACTGATTAGGTCTCTTGCCTCCAGCACAGAATTTCTGTGACTAAAAGCCAAATGTAATTTTATTACTGCCTTTATCTTTCTGCAGGTAGTGCCTTGAATACCTCTGTAACCACATGCCTTGCCTTTCTCTTTTGGCAGAGGAACGTCCTGGCATCTGGAGTTATCCCTCAGATTTCTCTGATCATGGGCCCGTGTGCTGGTGGGGCTGTGTATTCCCCTGCTTTAACTGATTTCACGTTCATGGTAAAGGTAAGAAAGAAGGGCCTGTTTCTCCTGCCCTTTGAGAATTGTGTAGTAACTCACCTGCAATAAAAATAGTTCCTGACCTAGATCTGGGATATATGCATTATCACTGCTCTCAGCATAGTAATGATAAAAGTGTTAATGGAGAGAAGGTTTTGGCATGAAATCTGTAGCTCGTGGGACTTCTGTGGCAGATTGTGCTTGTGTACTTCATTGGTGGGTGATTTTACTTGTTGATTTGAATTGAAATGATTCTTTTCTGTAATCTACTGGGAAGTTGTTTCTTATGTCCTACCTTTATTTCTTCGGCTGTTTGCCATTTCATTACATATTGTCTATAATGGTAAATCTGATCTCTAACTTCATTTTGAGAGGTGCTTTATCTTTAGTACATAATTTTGACAGAATGAGGTTTCTAATTTTAAATGAGGCCTACTTGCATTTATACATGGGTAATTACTTTAACTTGATACCTTTTTAAAAAATTAGTCTTTCCTCATAAAATATATTTAATAATAATGAGCAATAAATGCCAAGACAGATTTGGAGGGGGGGAGGTAAAGATAGTCCTCCAATATGAGGAGAACGCTGTAAATAGAGGGAATGTAAATAGGGAACACCTTTTTCTTGAGCGTAGTTTGGCAGTAGGAATTGAGAAGGTTTGAAAAGTGTGCTTACTCTTTGATCCAGATATTCTGTTCTTAGTGACAGACTGAAAGCAACCTATATGTTCAATAGGGGTGGGCTTTAAAAATTCAGATGATCGGGTCGCCTGGGAGGCTCAGATGGTTAAGCGTCTGCCTTCAGCTCAGGTCATGATCCTAGGGTCCTGGGATCGAGCCCCACGTCCAGCTCCTGGCTCAGCGGGGAGCCTACTTCTCCCTCTCCCCCTGCGTCTCCCCCTGTTCATGCACTCTCTCTCTCAGTATCTCTGTGTCTCAAATGAATAATAATAATAAAAAAAAATCTTTAAAAATTCAGATGACCACATCTCTTCCTGAACAAAGCAGAACTCCCTCTACCTTGCCTATGAAATTGATATATATAGTACCTTCCTGAGCTCACCCAGTCTTCTTCTTCCTGCCGGGAGCAGAGGTGGCAGTTCCTTTGGCTAAGTCCCTTCTCTCCCCCTCTTCCTACATTTGTGCCTATCATGGACTGCGACTTTTCACACCTTGTCAGTAGCCAGCCTTCTGTCCATTCTCTTCTATCTACCATCTTCAGCCTCTCCCTTCGTACTGGGTCCTCCCATCAGAACTATCCCCTGTTCAGGTATTTCCTATCTTCAAAACAACCACAAAAGCCCTCCCCTAGTCTGCGTCTCCCTGTGGCTATTGCCCTATTCCTATCTTCCCATTCTCTCCTTAACACATTCCAATTTGGCTCTACCCCCTCACTCCACTAAAACCTTTTTTTTTTTTTTTTAAGGTCATCAGTGATTTCTGTGTCACTGTCAATGATCTTTAACATGCATTTTCCTCAGAGTATTAGCAACATTCGTTTTCCTTTGCTTCCACTCTGTCTTCTCTGGCATTTCTTCTCACCTCTCCAGCCTTCTTGGTGTCCCTTGCTAATCCTACTGTTAGTTAGCCAGCACCTCTGGCATCTCAGATGATTACCATTTCTTTTTTGTGGTGAGAACATATTAAGATCTCCTCTCCTCGCAATTGTCAAGTATATAATACAGCATTAACAGTAGGAATCACTATGCTGTACATGAGATCCCCAGAACTTATTCATCTTATAACTGTAAGTTTACACCTTTCACCAGCACCTCCCCATTTCCTCCAGTCCCCAGCCCCTGGTAACCACCATTCTACTGTTTTTATGAGTTTGGCTTTTTACATTCCACACATAAGTGAGATCATACATTACCTGTCGTTCTCTTTCTGATTTTATTTCACTTAGCACATGCATTTATACATGGGTAATAATTAGCCATGAGTGAAATGCTTTCAAGGTCCACCCATGTTGTCGCGAACGGCAGGATTTCCTTCTTTGTCATGACTGAATAATGTCTGTATTGCATTTTCTTTATCCATTCATCCGTTGCTGGACACTTAGGTTGTTTTCATATCTTGGCTTTTGTAAATAAGGTGCAGTGAACGTGGGAGTACAAATATCTGAGATCTTGATTTCATTTTCTTTTAAAAAATTTTTAATTCTAATGTAGTTAACATACAGTGTTATTTAGTTTCAGGTGTACAATATAGCGATTCAACAATTCCATATATTACTCAGTGCTCTTCAAAATAAGTGCACTCTTAATCCCCTTCACCTATTTCACCCATCCCCCACCCATCTCCCCTCTAGGAACCATCTGTTCTTTATAGTTAAGAGTCTGTTTTTTGGCTTGTCTTTTTTTCCCTTTGTTCATTTGTTTCTTAAATTCCACATATGAGTGAAATCATATGGAATTTGTTTTTCTCTGACTGACTTATTTCACTTAGCCTTATACTCTAACTCTACCCACGTTGTCACAAATGGCAAGATTTCATTCTTTTTTATGGCTGAATAATATTCCTCTGTGTGTGTGTGTGTGTGTGTGTGTGTGTGTGTGTGTGTATCACTATCCATTCATCAGTCATGGACATTTGGGGGCTGTTTCCATAATTTGGCTATTGTAAATAATGCAATAAACCTAGGGGTACATATGTATGTACATATATCCCTTTGAATTAGTGTTTTTGTATTCTTTGGTAGTATGATTACTGGATCATAGGGTAGTTTTTAAGAATTTTTTTGAGGAACCTCCATACTGTTTTCCACAGTGACTGCACCAGTTTGCATTCCCACTGACAGTGCACAAGAGTTCCTTTTTCTCCACATCCTCGCCAACACTTGTTTCTTGTGTTTTGATTTTAGCCATTCTGATAGGTGTGAGGTGATATCTCATTGTGGTTTTGATTTGCATTTCCCTGAAGATGAGTGATGTTGAACATCTTTTCATGTGTCTGTTAGCCATCTGTATGTCTTCTTTGGAGAAATGTCTGTTCATTACTTCTGCCCATTTTTTTGTTTGGGTTATTTGTTTTGGGGGTGTTGAGTTCTATCAGTTCTTCATGTATTTTACATACTAACCCTTTATCAGATATGTCATTTTCAAATATCTTTTCCCATTTAGTAGATTGTCTTTTAGTTTTGTTGATGGTTTCCTTTGTGTATATATATCCAAAAGTAGAATTATTGGATCATATGATAATTCTTTTTTAATTTTTTGAGGAACTTCCCTACTGTTTTCCATAGTGGCTGTATTCATGTATGTAAATTCCCAGTGGTGCACAAGGGTTCCCTTTCCTCCACATTCTTGCCAACACTTATTTCTTGTCTTTTTGATAATAGCCATTCTAACAGGTTGAGGTGCTACCTCCTTTTGGTTTTGATTTACATATTCCTGATGATTAGTGATGTTGTATCTTTTCATATACTTGTTGACCATTTGTAGGTCTTCCTTGGAGAAATGTCTATTGTGATCCTCTGTTGATTAAAAATTTTTTTCTAGCTTTATTGATATAGTTGTCATATAACACTGTGTAAGTTTAAAGTATACAATGTGATAGCTTTATACAGACATATATTATAAAATGTTTATCACAATAAGGTTAGTTAACACATTTTTCACTTCACAAAATTACCATTTTGGATTTTTACTGTAGTTGTTATTGAGTTGTAGGTGTTCTTTAAATATTTTTGATATTAACCCCTTTTCAGATATATGATTTGCAAATATTTTCTCTCATTCAGTAGGTTGCCTTTTCATTTTGTTGATTTTCTTTTGCTCTGTAGAAGCTTTTTATTTAGTTTGATGTTCTACTTGTTAATTTTTGCTTTTGTTGCTTATGCTTTTGGTGTCATATTCATAAAATTGTTCCCTATGTTTTTTTTAATTAAAAAAAATTTTTTTAAAGATTTTATTTATTTGAGAGAGAGAGTGAGCGAGGGAGAGTGCACAAGCAGAGGAGGGGCAGAGGGAGAGGGAGAAGCAGGCTCCTGCTGAACAGGGAGCCCTATGCGGGGCTCGATCCCAGGACCCTCTGGGGTCAAGACCTAAACTGAAGGCAGACACTTAACTGACTGAGCCACCCAGGCGCCCCTCCCTGTGTTTTCTTCTAAGAGTTTTATGGTTTCAGGTCTTTAAGTCTTTAATCCATTTTGAGTTAATTTTTGTGACCAGCTGAATATATGGGTCTAAATTGCATTCTTTTGCCTGTAGTGATCCAGTTTTCCCAAAATATTTATTTTATTTATTTATTTTTTTAAGATTTTATTTATTTGAGAAAGAGAGAAAGAGTGAGAGAGAGAGATCATAAGCAGGGGGGAGGGGTGGAGGGAGAAGCAGACTCCCTGCTGAGCAGGGAGCCCGATGAGGGACTTGATCCCAGGACTCCAGGATCCCATGACCTGAGCCACCCAGGTGCCCCCAAGATCATTTATTGAAGAGCCATAGCTCTCTTCTCGTTGAATATTCTTGGCTCCTTTGTCAAATATTAGTTGACAGTGTATATGAGGGTTTACTTTTGGGCTCTTGATTCTGCTCTATTGGTTTGTGTGTCTGTTTTTATGCCAGTACTATACTGTTTTGATTACTATAACTTTGTAGAATAGTTTGAAATCCAAAAGTATGGTGCCTCTAGCTTTATTCATCTTTGTCAGGATTGTTTAGGGTATTTGGGGTCTTTTGTGTTTCTGTACAAATTTTAGATTGTTTTTTCTATTTCTGTCAAAAATGCCGTTGGAATTTTGAAAGGAATTGCATTGAATCTATAGATGGCTCTGGGTGGTATGGACATTTTAACAATATTCTTATCCAGGAACATGGGATCTCTTCCATTTATTTTTGTCATCTTCGGTATCTTTCATTGAAGTTTTAGAGTTTTCAGTGTATAGATCTTTCACCTCCTTTGTTAAATTCATTTGGCATACTTTGTTTGATACTATTGTGAATGGTCTGGCTTTCTTTTTCAGATATTTTATTAGTGTATAGAAATGCTACTGATTTTGGTGTT